GAATGGTGGTGGTCAAAAAATGCTGGGTAGGAGATGAATATCAGTCTGTAATGGAGTTTCACAGAAGTCTGACCTTGAATATATTCTGTTCGCTATCAAATAGCATGATTGGAGAATAGCATCAATCAAGAGAAGAATGATATACAATATGATAAAAATCAGTTTTCAAAAGCATCTTGATAAGTAAGAATGGTGGGCCAAATCTTGCAAGTTACCTGCAATATGTATTCATACCTAAAGCCTGAAGTGCAATAGAATAGTACATTATAGATAAAATGTAAAAAAATTCAATATGTGTCCATTTTTATGATATTAATATAATCATGTATTGCATTACATTGTAATACTATAATCTTTTAATACTATAATTTCTAATTGAAGGAGGAGGTGGACCTTCTATTAGTTGCTCAAACTCCTCCCAGATTGATGTGTTCAATTTTGGGAAGACTATATAAGAATATATATCTAGGCAACCAGAAATGTGCTATAAAGGATATGACAAGGATGGTGATAGTATATTTTAAAACCTCTATCTGAGAAAAAGTTCATTATGGGGAATGGGAATCTCTAGTCAGGATTAAGAACTTTCAAATTGAAGAACAGAGAAAAAATGTCTGTTTTTCAAATGTTTGAAGTACTACAATACAAAGAACTAGATTTTTTTTCCTTAACATGAGATGTTAAGGAAATTAACATCTCCTTAACATGAGATGTTAAGAATTAGGGACAAATGGAAACCTACATTGATACAGATTTTCATTTAATGTAAGGAAAAGATTAAAATCTGACCAACCAATCTGTATTTGGTTATCCATGTCTAAATAATTATTTGTTTGGGATATTGTGGAGATGTGATACTGAATGACAAAATTGGCTAAGTGACATGTAAAAACACTGAGTCCTGACAATGTGAGATTTGTTATTTAACTAGATTTTATTTTTTTTATAAGTTTTGCATTTTTTTAAAAGATTTTATTTATTTATTTGACAGACAGAGATCACAAGTAGGCAGAGAGGCAGGCAGAGAGAGAGGGGAAGGGAAGCAGGCTCCCTGCTGAGCAGAGAGCCCAATGTGGGGCTCGATCCCAGGGGCCTGGGATCATGACCTGAGCTGAAGGCAGAGGCTTCAATCCACTGAGCCACCCAGGCACCTTTAACTAGATTTTAAATTCATCTTTACCATGATCTTCTCTCTCTGCAATGTATTTTGAGTATTTTACTTCAACATTCACTGCAGTATAATAGATATACCAAGAAATCCCCAAATCTTTGTGTGGATGGGAGATCATTAGTTGTATGATTCTGCCCTAATACATATGTTGATAAAGGGAAACATAGGTTTTTTGTCACATAAATGGTACTTTCCTTGAGGACCATGCTATATGTACGTAGCACAGATAATGACAGAATATTCTAGGCAGCAATAGAGCAAGACTGAGGACAGAAGACTTTCAATGGATCTGGTTATGAAAGCAAAGTAAAGAGACTAACAATGAACCAGAAAAAGTAATAAGAGTGAAAAACTCACAGAAAATTTCATCAACAACAAAAGAACTCCACTAAAGAAAACACTATCAAAAAGAAAGGAAGGATTGACATTAGAAAAGGAAGAAACCATCAAAAGCGGGGAAATATGGTACAAAAGTTAAATGCAGCTCACATTGGGTGACTGGAGCATTTTCAAAAACAACTGGAAATGAGAGAGAGATGAGAGGCAGTATGTACAGTGAAATTTGCATAAAAATTCAGCCACTCACTGTAGAAAGGAAAGAATTTTAGCAGGGGAAAGTAGCCCAGACAAAGGGAAGCCTCAATGGAAACAGACAACATAAGCTCCAAAGATGTGATACAGATAATGTGTCCCATAAACAAAGGGAAACTGCACAAAACATGAAAAGGAAAGGCCAGTCCACAGGCAAAGAAGAGGAACAGGATTTTGTACAAAAACGCACTGTGTGAACAGTGATAACAAAGAAAAGAGGAGGAAGATTTAGTTGGAAAGGAATTGAAAGAATTGATGAGATTGAAAGTATTTATAAAGAATACAAAGAAAAATATCCGAGTAACTCTCATCAGCTCTCTCCCCTCATCGCCACCACACACACACACACACACACACACATGAACAGTTACCATCCCATTTAAACTTCATTCTACATTCTGAATTATCACTGGTTACTTAATTTAGACAGACAAAACCATATTCTCATCATCAGCAGGTCAAGTTTTACTATGGAGTCTTATACTTAGGAAATGATTCCAACTCCCTGCACAAGTTTGATGCTATAAATGATTGTAATCTATGCATTAGTTAATAGAACAAATATAAAATTACTACTCTTTCTGTTAATATGAGCTTCTACAAAAACGCTGAAACACAAGTGGTCAGAAAATTTGTGATGGAGTTTTCCTGTATGAGTTTTTACAATATAGAATTAATGACAATTTCTGCTTAGAACTCTATCATAGTGTTCTATGTAGAGTACACAGTCTAAAAACTGAACACTTACCCTTTAATAATCTCTTTAATAGATAGCACACATATAACCATTAACAAACAAAATTATAACATACCTTAGTCATAATTTTAGTGATACTGGTGAGAATGTGAGGTAATAGGTGTTCACTCACACTGTTGGCAGGAAAATAATTGGTATAAATATTCTAGAAGACAATTAAGCAATATTTAGGAATGTTTAAACTGTCCAACTCAAGAATCCCCCTTTCAGGGAATTATGCATAAAATAATAAGTTTACAGGGACAATGTAAGAGATATTCATTATAGGGGGGTTAAATTAGCAACATAATAGAAACAATCTAAATGCCAACCAAAGGGAGATAAGTCAAATAAATTATGGTAGATTTGTAAATGAAATAGCATACAACCATTCAAAATTATGTAAATGAAGCAAAGTACTTGCAATAGAGTGATGTCTATGATAACACATTGGGAGAAAAATGTATGCTATGCAAAAGTTTTATACAATAATCTTAATTTTTGTGATTAAAGAGATTATATTTTATGTCAATGCAAAGGAAAAATTTGAAAGACAATGCACTCAGGCTAACAGCATACTTTTAACTACTTTGTGAACTCTTTAAAATGGTTGCCAGGGGCGCCTGGATGGCTCAGTTGGTTAAAGCCTCTGCCTTCGGCTCAGGTCATGATCCCAGGGTCCTGGGAATGAGCCCCAAGTCAGGCTCTCTGCTCAACAGGGAGCTTGCTTCCCCCCCCTCCCCAACCTGCCTCTCTGCCTACTTGTGATTTCTGTCTGTCAAATAAACAAATAAAATCTTAAAAAAAAATGATTGTCATACTTTTGTAATCACAAAAAAATTGTGTCATATATATTTTATAAAACAGGAAAACACCATCATGGTTTGGCTAGTTTTGACAAAAGGAAGTAAATAATTTGAAGAGGGATATGGGATATTTTAGATCAATTCTAAAATGGAAATTTAGAACTAACATGTGTTTTTAACTTTATGATGAGGGGTAGGAGTTGGAGTTAAAGTAGGACACATTCTGAAAGCAATAATGAGACCCTATCCTCAGTGGCTTACATAAAACCATGTTTTATAGAATGGAGCAAGGATGAACTGGGTACACATGGACGCTATTTTAACTGTGTTTCAATAAATGCTTAGAAATAAAGCTGGGAAAACTCTGTCAAAATCTATTAGTGGTTTTACTAACACAAATGTTGAAAACTTATTCCAGATGTTGGGACAGGTTGAATATATTATCAGGGTCCCTTGCCCAAATTGTCGAGATATTTACCTTCTGGATTTCAATGTCCATCATCCTACATTAGCTCATGTTCTAACTGCTACACTTATTATTAATTTTTTATTATAATTCACTTATAAAATCAAATAATTCCAATTATAATATTTGGTTATAGAGGGGTGTGTGTGTATATATATATATAATATATCTAGCTAGATGCAACTTTCAGTGAACTTGTAATTTGTAAATGATCTCTGAAATTGGGACTGTTTATTTTCTTTTACTCAAACTTTAGAATAGAAGATCCTCACTTAGTTGATGTTACAAGCAAAGTGAAGGAAATGTCCTAGAGCCCCTATGAAAGATTTATTTTGATTTGACTAAAATGAGCCCTGTTAAATTATGAAGTGATTTTTCCTTTATTGAAAGTCTCTTATAAGTCTTTATTTCAATTTCAAAAATGAGAACTATTTTATAATTATATAAAAAGAGGGTGCAGATTATTTTGAAGTGAATGCATAGTAGCATACAGTGGAAGAATTTATAATTTTCCTACTTCAGTAAAGATAAACTTCTTATACATATATGTGGAAAAAAATCATGGTATTTCATTTAACTGGATATAAATGAATATTGGATGTCTAGCAACAAAAATAATTGATCCCACACTATACGGTCCTTGGAAATTGAGATTGATAAGAAAGTGAAAATATTAGAGATTACATAACACATTAGCAGATGAGTGAAAAAGTCAGTAGGACCAGAAGCATAATTTGTTAAGACATATAAGGAGACAGATCAGAGGAACAAGAAATAATAAGAGCATGAGAAGTCCTAATACTTTTTTTTTTTAATTTTTAAAAATTTATTTGACAGAGAGAACACAAGCAGGGAGATTGGCAAAGGGAGGGAGAGAAGCAGGCTCCCCGCTGAGCAGGGAACCTGATATGGGGCTCCATCTCAGGACTCTGAGATCAGGACCTAAGCCAAAGGCAGATGTTTAACTGACTGAGCCACCCAGGCACCCAGCAAGTCCTAACACGTACTGAACAGAATTAAAGGAGACTTTGTAGACTCCATCCATAAGAGCTGAGGACCTAAGACAAAATCCCGTGTGAGTTATTTATTTATTTTTCCCCACTTTGGCCTCTTTAAACAGGATGGATCCATATAAAAAGTATTCTTTCTTATGTGTGATCATTATTTTTGACATTTTCTTTACTTGGCTTGGAGGATTTATGTGGTTTTGGTCTTCTTCTTATCTTGCAGAGGAAAAAGAACACAAGTAACACTCTAAATACCAAGATATCAGATTATACACAGCTCCATCTAAGTTTTCAGTGTTCAGTTGTGGGCCCTGGGCTGAGCAATCGAGAAGCTGAGCAATCACAGACAAAATGTAAGTCCAAGCCTCAAGGTCTGAACTGGGAACTAGTTAAAACTGTGTTGATGGGTGAGCATGGCTGTTTGTGTCGGTGTGAGTTTTTGTAATTTGAGTTTTCACAATATCAAACAGGGCTGTCCCAGGGAAATAATTACATGTTGAAATAAATAGGTTTTTCTTTCCTCATGACTTCATTATACTCATTTAAAATATTTTCTTTTACCTGAGTTTGGATTGTTCACAAGATTGCTCCATATTACGAGCTCTAAACAAATTCTCATACAATTCTGTCATTCCTACATCATCCTAGAACCCCAAATACCCATGACTGCCAAAAAGAAAGGTGTTGGTATTGCTCAAATGCCATTTGAGCTGCATCACTACTCTGAGGGGAAGTGTTGTCATCTCTTCTTGTCTAGGAAAAGGATTGGAGAGATCCAGTTCTTGCCTTGAGGAATACACACCCGGCAAGTGGCAGAACCGGGGTGAATGATAGCAGAAATGATGGGAGTTTGTGAGTATACTCATTAGCAATTAGCCAAATCAAAAACCAGTACCCAGCATACCACTACACCCAACGTGAATAAAGAGCCTATTGTCCAGATTTCTTAATTCAGAATAAATCAGAATCATGCAGAATCATTGGAGATCATCAGCTCCAGCCACTTTTTTTTTTCTTTTACTCATAAGGAAGCTCTAGTCTAGAAATCTTCAGTCACTCTTTAAGAAGTGACTACTTTTGTCAGAAAGTGGTAAAGCTAAAAACTTAAGTCAAACTCTTCAGGGTTTTAGGTTCCTGTCCATTTCATGATGCCAATTTGCCTAAGCCAGAGTGATGTAATTCTTAGTCATCCAGTAGGTGGAGTTAGGTCACTTAATCTCCACAAGTCACAGAGAAAATGCTGAGAGAATACTGATCAAGTGTAACATCCAGTTGGCCTGAACCGGTAGAAATGCCAATGTTTCTATATTAGGAAAGTTTAAATCATTCTGTTTCTTCTTTCTTATGCTGATTGAAAATCTATAACTTTGACCATTAGCACTAAAATATTTTTCTTTTTGAAGGTTCTCTTAAATCAGCCCATCTCTGTCTACTCTGTTAAACAGAAGAAGAACAGAATTTGTCTGTGGTAAGTCCTGAGTTTTTCCTTTTTTTCTTTTTTTTCTTTCTTTATATTTCTTTTTTTCCTGAGAATCGACTGTGTATCAGCTTGGAAAATGATGTCATTTTAGACCCAGGAATATATGAATGTGTGTGGAATCATACTAGCTCATAAGACAGAAGCAAATCTAAACCCAGCATTTATCCCTGTCTCTGGTCAAAACATATCATTCACATTAAGCCAAAGTCCTAAGTGTTTCTATGACCAGTCACCACAAATGCCAATGACATAAGTGGTATATTCCAGATGGGACAGAGCAGTGTGTACATGATAGTGTTGGTGGCTGGAGGAAAGATGTTTGAAGACAAAGAAGATCCTGGAACCTATGTGCATTGTGGAGCAAATGAGGTATTAATTTCTGATGCGTGTCATGCGTCAAATTCTATAAACAACTCTTGGATAAAAACAACAGTTCCCAAATATTCCTTATGGAGGAAATAATAAAATCCTCATGAGCTAAGGTTTCTAATTACTGCCTCTGTTCATCTCAAGGATAGTATGTAGGATGATGTGTAAACTAAGCTCATGGGATCTAAAGACTCATCTGGTGCGGGACTGGAGAAAAAGAAGAAAAAAAAAAAGAAAGAAAAGGGATTTAATTACAGAAGACAGATAATCTTGGTGTTAATGCCTGTAGCTGCTTTCTTAGCAACTGCTTTGTACGTAATAATGGTTTATCCTGCTTTTCCCACTGGGGAGGGGGAAATAAAGTTAATGTATGCCCTCCCACCAGGGACATTAAATCAAATCCTTTTATTCTGAGCCCTTATTTCTCAAGTGTGCAGAATGGGGTTAGATGTAGAACAGGAGAAAGGAAACAACCGATATTACATTACAAAAGACATTTTTTTCATACATGTACATTTCTGTATACATAAGATAGGCAGTGCATGTTTGGTTAAAAAAAAAAAAACAAAACTATTGTCCCAACCTTATACATTTTTCAGTCTAAAGTATTTCATTTGCGTAGTGGGAAGCTAGGTTTTCCCCAGATTGATTAGACCAGAAGCTGGTGCTCCAGCACTAACATGAAGAAATTCAGCAATGGGCACGAACATGAATGACAGGATGGTAACAGCATATGGGAGAAAGCTCAGCTACAGGCACAAACCCAGTAGTGTGAGTTTTCATCCAGAAAAAAAAATCATGTAAGATCTAAAACCTAAATCTTTGGCAGGCTTTAGGAGGAAGGGACAAAGTGCACATACAATACTTTCAAAGATTTGAGAGATGATTTCATTGTGTTCTTTTCTATCTTTGTACATAGGTAACACTTATACATACCAGTTTAATATATAGAGCAGTTTAACTAATATTTAATTAACCCTTATATGTAAGAAAAAAAGAACAGAATGAACACAAAGAATTGGACAGAAATAGGAGAGGTATTCACATATAGGTCAATAGTTTAAATAGAATTTAAACAAAAGTTACCCCAAAATGTTCATGTTAGCGGATGGTTCTGAAACCTCCTGGCACAGATTTTCCCCTTTGTCTTCCTGTTCCCACTTACCAGATAGCTTCTTTCTGTTTGTTTTTTGTTCTTTTGTTTTTATCCAGACAGTTATTCCCTATAGCCTCTTTCCTTCTTCTACTGTACATTGGATGGTGAGACTTTTTCTTTTCTCGAGAGACTCCCTTGAAACCTTATTTTATTCACCTTCTAGGCACAGGACATAACGTTGACCTTTAGCAGATTCTCATAATGCTTTTAGCTATGGAAAGCCACACTCAGCAAACTAATTTATGTCTAGGAAGCAAATGGATTAACTAAGTGTCCTACAAAGGACACTGAAGGACATTCAATGGCATTCTTCAGCAACATTAGGATGAAAATGAAAAATGAATCTTTCCATTCCAGGCAAGGTTATGATCTTAATCAAATGAAATTTGGTACATTCTGTATCCAATGGAAACCTCCAGGATTTGGAACTGCATAGTTAGTATTAACCTTCATTTAATGAAAATCAGCCATTGTGGAAAGTGGGAAAATAGGGGTGGCATTTTACACAGTTTCATCTGTTGTGTTAGATGGTAATGTTTTCAATCAACAGGTGTGGTCTTCTCGGTCTGTTCTTACATGAACTTCTGGCTGCTGTCCAGGTTACTCATAAGCTGCACCTGTCAGACACCAAAGCCTTCCATCTACCCCTCAGAGAGAGAATAAGTAAGGATGTTTTGACTCTTTTATTCTTTTATGAGTTTCAATTTAAAATGTTTGCTTTATCCACACAGAGGCCCAGACTTCTTTCAGAGAACAAACTCATTGCCAGTGTTGGAACTCGCAAAACCTGCTGCTAGGTCTGGAACACACACAAGCTTACCTATCAGCTTCCAACCCCTCCCTCCACCCACCCACTTTCAACCTGTTTCCAATGTACACCCAACGCTCTCATAGAGATTTGGCAGGGACTTGCTTTTTATATTGCTGTAGTTCAAACAGAGCAGAACAACAAACAAAGAACTTCTTTTTTCTACACGTAACCGTAAGTAAGGAAAATCATTTCCCTCATCAGTGCACCCCAAAACCATAGGTGAAGAAAGTGGAATAAGGAGAACAGAGTTACTGCCTTACTTAAAGACCACACTCTCGGGGCTCCTGGATGGCTCAGTTGGTTAAGCCCCTGCCTTCATCTCCGGTCATGATCCTAGAGTCCTGGGATCGAGTCCCACATAGGGCTCCCTGCTCTACAGGGAGCCTGCTTCTCCCTCTGCCTCTCCCCATGCTTGTGCTCTCTCTCTCTCTCTCTCTGTCAAATAAATAAAAAATCTTAAAAAAAAAAAAAAAGACCACACTCTACCACATTTAAACTTTTCCTTCTCTTGCTGAGTAGCTTATTATGTCACTAAAGCCTTTCTTTTGTCAGTAAGTTTTCCCGTGGCATTCCAAAGCCACAGACAGACATTGAAGGAGAGATGCTATAAGGTATTAAAAAAAAAAAAAAAAAGAAAAGAGGACAATAAAAATGCATTCCTATGAGTCAAAATCCTTAATTCTGCCTTTAATACATAGTCTCAAAGAAACCATCCACAGTTTCATAGAGAACAGATGTCCAACATATTATGTAGTTCATTTTCAAATCCCAAACAGATCAGTAGGAGTGGGATTTATTCTCATGACTCTTGGGCAGAGTTCCTCAGTACATTTTTTCCCTTCTAGTGATCCCATCTTATAAAAATTCTCTAGCTTCTGACAAGTGTTCTGAATTCAACTGGATAGCAGCTTCAGGCGAATTCATCTGTCATGGGCCCTGAAAGACATTTTTGGCTCTTGTCCTCGGTAAAGTATGATGCCAGGATGGTGGCACTGTGTCAGGTTTCTGGCTTTTGCCTTCAGGTCCCTACCTTTGGTCATACTCTAATCTGATGTGACTGATTTAGCAAGATTTAGGCCTACCATTTTCTTGCATTGAGTGTATGAGGCAATAAGCCATGCAATTATCTCCCAGCAAACAAACACAGTAATTATAACCAAGCACTCTAAAGGATTCAGATAACACCTTTCATCTAGAGAAGGAAAAGTCCCAAGAACTTTTTAGATAGTGTCAGACCTTAAATTTACGTATCTTATTAAATGAATGGAAAGCTGTAATTACAGTTGTTGCTAGTTAAATTAATCTGTGTCACCTAGCCTTGCTCTGAAATAGTGATATGCAGATGACCTTTATGTTGGAGATTTAGATACATTGTGTCTCTCACATTAGAAACAAAGCTGTCATTAAATTCCAAGCTTGTGAGGTTTTTCCATGCATTGTTTGGGCATTTCAAGTTATGAAGTCGTTGTAAGCAATACGAGGTC